TTTAGCATCTGAAGACATTTTGTCACAGTTGGGGTTAGGGTGCTACTGGCATCTGATGGGATAGAAGCCAAGGATTCTACTATACATAGCCTACAATGCACACCCCACCCCCACACCAAAGCACTGACGCTGAGGTTGGAAAACTGCTGTACACCCTGCAATAACCAACCAGAAAATATAATAAAAACCAAAGTCCATGTCCAGCAACTATGAAATGTCTGGGCATGAATTAAAAAAATTGATAAAGTCTCCATAAACCTTGAAACTTTGATAAAAGGCAGAAAAGGTTTTATAAATACACAAAGGGGCATACTATACTCTTGTGAATATGTTAAAGGTTCATTTTACTCCCTAAATCAGTAAATCCATTGAAATTCTAGTTAAAATTTAAGAAGATTTTTTTCAGAGATTAAAGTTATTCTAAAATGCAGGTGTGGTGGTGCATGCCTGCAATTCCAGCACTCAGGCGGCTGAGGCAGGATGATTGCCATGAGTTCAAGGCCACCCTGAACTACATAGCAAGACCTTGTCTCAAAGAAGGAGGAGGAGGAGGAGGAGGAGGAGGAGGAGGAGAAAGGAAAAAAGTTATTCTAAAATTTGCATAGGAATAAGGGAGAGGAGAGGGGGAATGGAAAGAAGGGACAAGGGAAAAAAGAATAGAAGAAAAACGGAAACAAAGCTTTTGTAAATAAGGAGAGGAAGAAGGGTTGAAGGGAGGGGACAGGAATGGGGAAAAAAGAAGCAAGATATATCATGTACAGGTACAAATTCCTTATGATGAATGTTATCATTATGTATGTCTAAAATGTACTGAGAAAAAATAAGATGAGAAAAAATAAATAAAACAAAATTTGCATGGAGTAATAAAGGGCCAAGAAGAGACCAGCCCTGCCAGATACTGAGGCACACTTCAAAAGCTGATAATAGAAATACCATGTCACGGGCCCAAGAGCAAACAAAATAGATCCATCAGAAAGAAAGGGACACTCAGAAATAAACTTTTGCAAACTTAATATATGTTAGAAAAGCTATCCCAGGCCAGTAAGAAAAGGTCTAACCACTAATAACATGGAAAAAATAAAACTAGACCCTACCTCATGTTATATAGAAAGGTGGACACTCTAAGGGTTTTATTAATACATTAAGATACCAAGTACCTATAAATAAAACTAATAGAAGACCATGTCAGTGGCCTAATGGTGAGAAAGTTCAAAAGAACAAACCATAAAGCAAAAAAGATGAATCTGGTAACTGAAAAGAAGGATTCTTAGTTAACAAAAAAGACCATGGACAAAATTAACAGGTTGGGAGAAGATACACGCAATTATCTAAAGCCAGTAACAGACTAACATCTAGATGAAACAAAGAGCTCTGGTAAATCAGGAAGGAAAAGAAAGCACCCTGGTTGAAAAGTCAACAATGACTAGGAAAAGGCAATTATCTAAGGAAACCCCAAAAAGCTAAGAAACATAGGAAGAGATGCTCTATCCATAGTAATTAGAGAAAAGTAAATTCACATAACTATAAGATCCCACTTGACACTCATCAGATTAACAACAATTAGACAGCTGGATATTCCAAGTGTTAGAGAAGTTTTGCTGCTGTTGGGATTGAGGGCAGGAGCAGCCTTTCAGGAGGATAATCTGATAATATGGGGGTCAAATGCAGCAAATCCACACACTATGACCCTGTTATCCCACTCTTGGGCACGTGCCCAGAGAGATTATCACAAAAATGATTAAGGGGATGTGTACAAAAATGCTCCTTGCAAAGATACTCATTGCCATGGTATTTGTGTAATCAGAAATGAATCAATGCACATAGGCACAATGCACATAGAGAATGAATGGAAATGCATAGTGTGTGCACACCAACCAGAAGTAATGAATTAGATGTCCACATAGCAACATCTATGGACTTTTAAAAGCATGGTGCTTTCGGAGGGACAGAAAGAGACTTTTAGCCAATAGGATTTTGTAATTTTTTAAAAGGCAAACAGCAACTGGAAATGTAGCTCAATGGTAATGTGGTAGTGCACTTCTCTTGCATGTACAAGCCCATGTGTTCCATCCATAGCACTGCAAAACACACACATGTGTGTATGTATATATGTATATATATATATATATGTTTACTCAAGACACATACAAAAGTAAGTACACTAAATACAATATCATGCTGATTGCGCATGGAGAGTGAGCAATTAAAGTGAGGATAAAAGAGAATAAGAAAATAAAAGAGTAAGAAGGGTTTGTCTAAAGCCTGAGGAATGCCTTGAACAAGACAGGAGTATGAAACTAAAGGAAACAAAGCAACAACAAAAGACAGGAAGGGGCTCAACAGGCTTGGCAGAAGCTGGAAAACTATTTCCAAGCTGTCTACTTGTTTGGAAGAGACATTTTCCCCCTGGTGAGAGCAGAGGAGGTGAGAGTGGCAGGGAGGCAGTCCCAGCAAGCATATGAGCTGGGGAATCCTGGGCACTGAGGATCTCATCTTGCAGGAATCCATCTTAAATTACACACTGACAATATCCTCCACTGAGTGTGTTGTCCAAGACAAGGAACTGTGGGGAATAAAGGGTCTGCCCACTCTAAAGCCCTGGTGAGAAATGGCAGAGCAGCTCTTCCTTGAGGCTTTCAGGAGCGGCAGTGAACTAGGAAGGGCAGGAGGCAATGGCTGGGCTGAGCAGAGGCTGGCAGACAAGGCACAGGCCTGGGGCAACCACCTCCCAGCAGGGAGGCCAAGTTGAGGATAGCTGCTAAGAAAGGGGGCTGTGACCTCTAGCTCAGCTCTGTAAAGCAGAGGGGACACTGAGGGAATCCCATTGATGGAATCTTTTGTGTCATAATGCATTGTTCTTAACAAAAATAGGACCATGACACAATCTTCCCTTGGTATCTGTGTGGGATTGGTCCCAGGACCCCCCAGGATATTAAAATCCATGGATGCTCAAGTCACTTATATAAAATGGTGTATTTACATATACCCCATGCAATACTCCTATATACTACTTTGAATCCTCTCTAGATGACTTACAATACCTAATACAATATGAAGAGTTGTTACACTCTTATTACAGGGAATTATGTTTTTGTGTGGAATAATGATGAGTCCACATACATATTGAGACAAAAACAACCATTATAGGCCTGAATACATTTTGAATTCACAAATGGTTAAATCCAAGGATACAAAACCCTTGGAGGGCCAACTGTACCATCCTGTGCCACTTTTAATGTGCAGCAGTGTCCTGTCCACACTTCAAATATTCTTCTGTAACACTATGCAATGGTCTTATAGGGCATGTTCTTTGTTACTTTGAGTTACTTGGTTCATTTGCTCAGATCCATGCTGTGCTTTGCATGTTGCTAACACAGGTCTCCCTATGTTTAGCCAGAAGGAAACACTGCAGAAAACTAGAGGGTAGGAAGGAGAGAAACCGGGGTATCTCTACATCTACTAGGCTTTGTGGTCCCAGCCCCTCCCCCACTCTCATCCCAGCCCTACCCCCAGCTTTCAGACTGATTCAGCCAAGATAGAAGTGGCTTCTCCTGATGTTATCTCTGAGTGGCTTCTCAGCTCTTCCATCACCTATATAATCAAATCACTGTATAAAAATATTTGAAAGAACTACAGTGAATTTTTTCCTGACCTTGAAACTGGTTGGGCAGACCCATTCTATAGACAGTGTCTCTTTTTAGCTATTATGTGTGAACCATACTATAGTCAAACCCTTAAAGCTAAATATTAGTCCCAAGTATGTATACTTCCTTAGCACAAATTTCTAGAAATTTATACAAAGCCTGTTTTGGTTGCATAATGCCATTTCCCCTACTATACAATAGGATTGTACCAAGTTATACTTCCAAAAATCTAATTGTAATTTTTCCCTCACTAGGAAAAATTATACCTGTTGGCTTTTGTTTTTGAGACAGGGTCTCCCTATGTAGTTGTGGCTGGCCTTGAACTCACTATGTAGCCCAGGCTGGCCTTCGACTTGCAGTGACCCTCAGCCTCCTGAGTGGATTACCAGCATGTGCCACCACACTTAGCCTGTGGGCTCTATTATCCTCTTTGCATTGATCATTTTCTTCCCTTAGTTACTGTCAAGCCACATCAATGTCAATGGGTATCACTAGAAACCTCTGGGAAATTTGTTCACTGGATGTTTTTCTTATTGGGGAGTAGGAAAAGACTGGTAGAAACGGACAAGAGGCAAGTGCTTTATGGATGTTTACATCAAGAACTACACATCCTGAAAGAGAATCACATCTGCCTCCTGAGACCAGCTGCAGGCCCTGGGGGTAACACTACATCCTAGCCCACTGCTTAAACAAGAGATGCCAGGATAACCGTGGTTCTCTAGTGGTGGTTGACTCCAGGAAAAGCCACTTTCCAGTTCCATTAGGACTGAATTTCTGGGGAGGAAAATGTCTAGGATCAGGCCATGTCCTGACCACACACATGCCTGTCATACACATATATTTGGCCTCCTTGTCCATGGACTCCAAGGGTACAGCCAACCAACCTCAGGTCAAAAATATCCAGAAAAAAAATGCATCTGTATTAAACATGTACAAGTTTGATCCCCAGTACCCCTGGCCCCCCCCAAAAAACATGTACACTGTTGTTGCCATTTTTCCTTAAACAATACATTTACCTAGTATTTATATTGTAGCAGATATTATAGTCTATACAGAGGATGTATATAAATTCTGTGCAAATGCTACACTACTTTATGTTTTATGTAAGACTTATATAAAATTCATAGATTCTGGTATCTTTGGGTGGGTTCTTGAGCCACTCTCCCTTGCATACTGAGATGACTATACACACAAAATCCAAGACATACATAACTCACTCATCAGACTGTTCAGGAAGTACTAATATGTCCCTAAGATAGCCAGTCTTAAAAATGCACACTGAATATTTTTCTCAGATGACACACTGAATATTTTGAAAAAAGTTAAAATTTATTAATAATATTTAACATCACATAGTTAATTCAACTAGTTCTTTATTGTACATAGTGACGACATCTTCACCAAACTGAGTGCTCAAGGGTTTGACTAATCCACGTTCGGCACACTCCAGGCAAAGACTGAGATCAACTCTATTTACACCATGCAGAGCAGCAGCAACCAGGGGATCACAGTCAACATGCACTGTTGAGAGTTCTGGCTTAGAAATCAACAACATATCTTTAATAGCCACACACATATTACACATTTAAAACATGTAATTTTAAAATGTAATAATAAAATTAAGTTAAAAATTCGTCTACATTTCATGGATATCCTTTAGTGATTGACAAGTCTATAGGTGGCTTTTGACTTTTCATTGCAGTTGAAGGCACCCACGTTTTAGATAATAACTGAAGATGGGGACAGCAGAGGAGCTTCACTGGACATGTAAAGTCAGACTATAACAAGTGAGGACGTGTCCCCTTTCTTTTTTCATTTCCAGGAGGATCTGGGCCATTTTCACTTATTCATACCCCATCTTGTTCAAAAACGATAACTGGGCGCTGTTCTCAGCCCAAGTTTGAAAATGTACAAAAATTGGGTGCAACTAAGTTGTGAGCCTGTCCATTTTTCTGTTTTGATCCTTATATTTTATTTAATAGTTTTACAAGGCCATTCCCACTATCATACTGTGTCCAAGCTTAATGTCCATGATTGTTTTTACATTAGGGCAGAAGTGGGTTTTCAGATTCAGATTCAACTGCATTCTTGGAAAGTAGTCTGGTGGCTTTTACACCATTCTAATCTCTGCCATGAAATAAATATGTATATAAAAAACAAAAACAGGCCCGTAGACCAATGCCAGCTCAGATCAGGAGAGCACATTTCTTGTAAAACATTTACAAGACAAACTCAAGATGAAATTTGCTGGGAGGGCACAAACACACCAAAAATGTTGTCCCTGAGGTTTTGTTTGGTTCATTACTTCGTTTTGGTTTGATGTTGACAATTAGAATTTTAAAAATTTTTGGTGGCTTCCTTTGTTAGACAGCTTTAAAATACTACTGACTGTCATAAGAATACAGATAAAGACTTCTAGGCAATGGGTCTACTTGAAATGATTTCTTTGGTTTCCTTTGGTTCATATCCCCTGTAATATTGCCCCAGGAAAGTCTCTAGACAGAGCAGACAGTTGCTGTGGTTTCTTCAATCCATGGGCCCAGATTTTAGTCTCCATTCCTGCCTTCCACACATTTTCAAGAATGCAGGGGAGGGAGGAGCCAGAAAGCTGATGCTTTGCCATTCACTCACCCCGAAGAGGCTTCCCTTCTCTTCCTGCAGGCAAATGAGGTATTTCTAGGAGCTTGTCAATATCTTTACCTTCCATCCTAAACTAAATTGCTCTATTAAGACTTGAGGCCAAGTCTGAGGATACTTTGTGTGTGTGTGTATATATATATATAACAAATTAACATATATAAATACATTACATACAATCAATCACATAATGAAGAGTAGACCTACTTCATGAACTAAGTAAGTTTCACATATAAATTAAAATACAGTATTTCCACTTATACAGGAAAATTTTAAAAAATAAACTCAAAGGTTCCCTTTTCCCCAGGTTCATTGCTCAGATGATCCATGTGCCCATGGTGAGATGCAGAGATCAACCCACTCATGGGATGTGTCAACTCCTGGCTTTGGTTTCATTGCCCAGACTTGGAATTCCTTGATTCCAGAATAGTAAATGCTGGAATCCATGGGGTAACACTCATAAACATGTCAAAGAAAGGATGCCATGGATGCCTATGAGATTTCCTTCCACTTGCCACCTCTCCGCCCTTCCAAGTCTGCTTGCAGGAGGATCAGGCTTGCATCATTAGTGGAAACCTGCGTCCTCTAACTGGAGAATCAGCATCAATGTTCATGCAAGGGGATGCTCTCCACCTAGAAATGTCACGTTCAGCTCCAAGGTGAGGCAACCCCATCTTTAGGACTGCTTCCATCTTGTAGGATTGTATAGGGATGTAGAATTTGGCCAGGGAATCACATTTTTTTAAAGTGAACCAGTAGGAATGGTTGTGACCAGTGTGAACAAACCCTTACTCTGTACCTCAGAAAAGGCAAATGTTAGGTACCAAACTCTACAGTGAACATATTCAGAGACAAAATCTAGTCCACTGGGGTCCTCTCTGCCAAAGGAAAGCCATGGGGTCTGTCTGTCTCTGATACAGGAGATGACACCTTATAATTTAAACAGGGAAAGGGGAAGCAGAGATGTCCCTTCCAATCTTGGGGGGGTTCTATCGCTGTCCAGCCTCACGGATGCGGCAGGCCACGGCAGTGATGAGAGCAGCCCCCTTCCCACTGCCATCCTCCGATTCCAGGAAGGACACTTCACATTTTGGAGCCAAGTCCTTCACTGTCTCATGCATGACTTTGGCAAAGCTGGAAAAAGGGTAAAAGAAAAAAAAGACAAATGAAAAACCATCTTAGTCATGAATTGATTTATGTCCTCAGAGGTAAGACCCTAAGAAGTGATGCTGGAGATCCAGGAATAATTAAGAAGAGAAGGATAACAGCTACAATATGGCAAACCGTTACTATGTCTTGTGTACCAGAAAATTAAGACTGGAAAATGCTAGTAATATGCCTAAATTCTACCTCACAGTGGGCCACTGAGGGATTAAGATTCAACCATGAGGAGTTGCGTGGAAGATGCTGAATCACCCCGCTGCAGACAGGCAGGTCTGCCCACGCACTACCGAGGTCCTGAGTCACACAGAACACGCTGAATCAGCCCGCTGCAGACAGGCAGGTCTGTGCATGCCCTACCGAGGTCCTCGGTCATGCGGAAGATGCCAAATCACCCCACTGCAGACAGGCAGCCACCTGGTTCCACACTACAAAGACGCAGAGGACACCAGACCACCAGACCAAGGTACTGAGTCCCGCTGCTCCCCGCCCAGAGGTAGGGGCTTCTGAGC